CTTTCCCTAAATCACTTCAGTATTCAAGGGCCTGTATTTAAGTGGCATCAACCTGGGACAATAGAGTGGCAGGTCTTTTAGAATTCTATAGTTCAAGGTTGGACAAAACACAACAATTTTCCTCTTCAAACCTCTCTAACACAAAACATACTCTTCCGTCACACTTATGTTCCCTCTCGGTTTTGATATGAAGTGGGGGTGAAAGGAAAGGCTGAATTTAATAATTGTTGTTTGAAAAGGTATTTTTTAAAATTATTTTATTTTTTAAACTAGAGAAATAAAGCTATCTCTAATAGAGAAGATTCCAGTATCCTATCAGGAACGTTGCGAAAGTATTTATCTCTTTGAGTGTCACTTTCCTCATAAAATAGGGGCTTCAGTGATCACTAGATAATCTCACAGGTCACCTGAGGCTCCGAAGTTACGCTTAGAGGGATGCATTTTTGACATGCATTTCCTCTCTGTTGCAACCTGGTAAGAAGAGGAAGTCTTCAGATTCTGGGCCCACTTGGTTTCCTGCAGGGGAAAGTCTTTTTCTTTCAAGAAAGCTCCTGGGGCTTCCCTGGTGGTGCAGTGGTTGACAATCTGCCTGCTAATGCAGGGGACACGGGTTCGAGCCCTGGTCTGGGAGGATCCCACATGCCGCGGAGCAACTAGGCTTGTGAGCCACAGCTACTGAGCCTGCGCGTCTGGAGCCTGTGCTCCGCAACGAGAGGCCGCGATAGTGAGAGGCCCATGCACCGCGATGAAGAATGGCCCCCGCTTGCCACACCTAGAGAAAGCCCTCGCACAGAAACGAAGACCCAACACAGCAAAAATAATAAATTAATTAATAAACTCCTACCCCCAACATCTTCTTAAAAAAAAACAGAAAGAAGAAAAAAATAAAAAGCTCCTGACCACAGTGATGTAAAATTCAGTTGTAGATACTAGTGGTGATGTCATGAGTTAAGTGCTGAGGGTGCTGTCAGTCACACCTGGGCACTCACCTTCCAGTACCTCTTCCCTAGAGAGTCTGAATGACCTCTTCCCAGCTCCTTCCACCTCTCTTCTAATAATGACTATGGAAATTTCCCCATAAGCTCTGAACATACAGGAAACTTTTAAATCACGAATTACATATTGAATCTTTACTATGCAAAAACATCATCCCAGGCAATGTGGAAAACTGAAGACATATAACAAATACCATAACTGACTAAAACTTGATAAACACAATGATGAATTGGTCAGGACTGGATAACTTCTATAACAAATAACTTTGAAATCTCAGAGACTTGATACAATAAAATCTCGTTTTGCACTCATATAATTTTCCAGTGTTTATCAGTTTCCATTAAGACATCTAGTACCCAAGGTCCTTCCACCTGGTGACTTTCCATACTCTAGAATCTTGGACACCCACTGAGATCCTCTGAATCCTACTAGCAGATGAGAAATGAGAAAGGCAAGGAGAATTATGTGACAGGTCTTTTGGGACTAAGCTTCATATTGGCATATATCCTTCGGTCCACATTCTACTGGTCAAAGCCGCATCATATGGACCCACCTAACTGAAACTGAGATGGAAAATGAGGTTTAGCTACATGCCCAAGAGGAAAAGAGGCTGATAAACATAGCATTCCCAACCACAACTAAGATGGAGGTAAGTCAAGTGCCATGGAGAACTGTAATTGGGAGTTCACATCTTTTGAGAAGTGATAAGGAAAGCTTCAGGAAAGTGGCAGTTTCTCAACTGGGCCCTGAAGAGTCACAAATATTTCAACTGCTGCAGGTTTTATGTCTTAGTGGGAGACGACTAAGGATACAACTGGAGAGTTCGGTCCTGATCAAGGATGGCTCCAATTTCTAAGTTAAAGAGTTTATTTAGCCATCTGTAGACAGGAATCCAAAAAGTTTCTTCCCCACATGATTTACTAATGAAGATATTATAAGTCAGACTAGGAAAGCCATTATCTTCATTTACCTGAGAATACTGTTATATTACCACTATCTTTAGGTGTAAACTCACAAAGCAAAACCTCTTTTGTTTTTTAGGTAGAATAAGGACAACCACATGGGTCAAGTTTATGTGGTTACTCTCAATGGTGCAAAATATATGCAAGATTGAATAGAAAAGTCTGTGTGCAAGGTCAGATTCTTGCCTTAGGGCCCACACTGTCCTTGTGGAGGAAAATGCTGCACTAGTGTAAGGTACGTGCATATACACCTGATCATGTGTTATCCCACAAAGCCATGCAAACAGAGCACTAATTTATATCAGGGTTAACATCATGCGTCCTTTCACTTGTCTTTAGAAGTTTACACCTCCCACTCATTATAATGAAAAACCAAAAGTTCCGTCTACAGTTAGGCTCATGTATTGTTCTTGATATGCTGGAGGAGTATGAAGAGAAATCCTAAAACAGTTTTGCAATTTTTCTGCAATTTCTAATGCAATCAACATTTAAACTTGCTTAATTTCCTTTTAACGCGATTCCGTTGCCTCTCTCCTAAACATTATGTGGAGTCACTTTTGTACAAATC